TGAAAACAAAAAGAAATGGACAGATATGTAAAGGCATGGGAACCACCAAAGCTAAACCAAGAAGAGATTAACAGCTAAAACAGACCCATAACACATAAAGAAATCGAAACAGTAATACAAAATTTCCTGACTAAAAAAAGCCCAGGACCAGATGGATTTACAACAGAATTCTATGAGACATTTAAAGAAGATCTATATCCAGTACTACTTAATTTATTCAAAAAGATTGAAATGGAGAGACAACTTCCAAATTCCTTCTATGAAGCCAGTATCATGAGGAGAGATCAAATTATCCCTTTTTGCACATGATACGATATTACATCTAAGAGACACCAAAAATTCCACAAGAAAACTCCTAGAAATTATGAACACGTTCAGTAAAGTGGCAGGTTGCACAATTAACCTACAAAAGTCTGTAGCCTTTCTATATACCAATAACAAGCAATCAGAGAAAGAGCACATGGAAACACTCCCCTTTATAGCAAAAAAAAAAAAAAAAAAAAAAAATCTCGGAATAAACCTGACCAAAGACAAAAAAGAGCGCTACAATGAAAATTTTAAATCTTTAAAAAAAGAGATTTAGGAAGACACCAGGAGATTGAAGGACCTCCCATGCTCATGGATTGGAGAATCAATATTATGAAAATGACCGTCCTACCAAAAGGAGCCATTTGTTGATTCAATGCAATGCCAATCAAAATCCCCATGACATTTTTCACAGAATTGGAAAAAACCATCCTAAGATTCATATGGGAGCACAAAAGACCTTTGATAGCCAAAACAACCCTGAGCACGAAGAGCAGTACCGGGGGGATTAGTATACCATGTATTCAGCTGTATTACAGAGCTATAGTCATAAAAACAACATGGTACTGGCACAAAAATAGACCCATAGATCAATGGAACAAACTTGAAGACCCAAATATGAGTACATGCCATTTCAGCCACCTGATGTATGACAAGGGGCCAAGAACATTCACTGGAGGAAAGCCAGCATGTTCAGCAACTGGTACTGGCAAAACTGGATCTGCACCTGTAGAAGAATGAAACTAATACTCTGTCTTTCACCTTGCACAAAAGTCAATTCCAAATGGATCAAAGACCTCAATGTGAAGCCTGAAACTCTGAAACTTGTAGAAGAAAACATTGACAATAACCTACAAAATATAGGTGTAGGAAAGGATTTTCTAAAGAGGACATCAAATGCCCAGGAAACAGGTCAAGAATCAACAAATGGGACCTCATTAATCTAAAAAGCTTCTGTACATCAAAAGAAGCAACCAAGTAAGTGAAGAGATCTCCACAGAATGGGAGAA